ACCTGTGCTGGGGCAGGCAGCAAGGCCGCGAGGCGAGTTGTAAGCGGACTGAGCCGCATATCCTGAGCCTGTGGACTGAACCCGTACGCTGTGCCTTTGTGAGAGACGTGCAACATGCCGGAAGGCGTCGTGTGTGGACCAAGGGAATTGGGAAACTAATACACGTTTTTTTAACTTGTTACTTTTATAACCGATGATATCTGATGGCTCAAATTACAGGATAACCGCATTACTACAAATGCCTGTGTGGGGAGAATAAGAAGACATAACTTAAAATAAACAGCCTTATCCCAGTGTGAATCACATAGTTTTGTGTCAGATATAAGGATGTTGGGACAGGATCGTCGAGTTGTTGTAGCTGTGCCGATTAGGATATAGCGGCCCCACATGCTCATGCTGTGTTGCGGTGAGATGGGATAAGTTTCCTTTGGAGATGCACCAGCGGGCAACGAGCCCGGAAGAGCGCGGCCCTTAACAGCCATTACCCGCGTGACTCGTGCGGTGAGATGGGATAAGTTTCCTTTGGAGATGCACCAGCGGGCAACGAGCCCGGTAGAGCGCGGCCCTTAACAGCCATTACCCGCGTGACTCGTTAACCCGAGTGTTGAACCTGGCAGCTGATGCACTACTGCATTACCTTCGGGTCCGATTGTAGCATGACATTTATTCGCCTATGTTTCCACGCAACATAGTAAAATTTAATACTTAAAATGAGCCCCTTTAAAGTATCATACATACCCAAATTTACAGGTTCACTCTAACAGCTTCATGCGCTGTCCAATGTCCATCTAAGTGTATTTCTCTATCAATGTTCTGGACAATATCGTAGTCGATCTATCGGCTCTGGACAAGGGACAGGTGGATATGCCATAGATGGTGTCCTCGTCTACCGCTATGCTAAGTTTCAACCCTCTTCCGTTGCTGCTTACGGTATCCATGTGAACTTAGAAAAGTAACCGCGTGTCCACGTAAGCCAAAATTGGATGAATGTATGTTGCACGATTTCTAAGGAATTTTGCACCTCTTCTGAGTAAATATACGGTGATCCTCCTTGTCAGGTATATGGCCACTAAGACAGTGTTTGCCAGAGTCCTGGTGGTGTTGGTTTAGCGAGAACTGCTGACGTGTGAACTGCTGACGTGTGAACTGCTGACGTGTGAACTGCTGACGTGTGAACCGCTGACGTGTGAACTGCTGACGTGTGAACTGCTGATGCACCCTCCTGACCTCAGCATCGCTGCCCGGTCAAAGACAGTCATTGCACCACTCCGTCGTACAAGCACAGTGAATTACACACAGCATATGCGGGCGTGCGCCGCCGATCCAAACGCCAGTCCGCTAATGGTCGACGAACTCCTGCAGCTCCTGCAGCGCTGTCACTGGTGCCATATGTGCAAGCGGACCCGTCAAAAATCCGGTTGCGTGCCTTGATGCACTATAGGCAGCGGGCCACGCAACTGGTGGCCAGGAGCTCGTCCGAATCTGCAAGGATATGAGCTCGGCTCGGACCTGAAGCAGCGCGCGTCGAACGGGCGATATGACGTCACACTGAGCCCGCCTGTATTACGAGGCATGCGTCCCTGCCATTGCCAAACGTCATCTGCCGCAACGACTTTTGCGACGAGAAGGAGCCTTGCCAAATATGGACCCACTGAATGATGAAGAATGCACCATGGATGTCGCTTGGGGGTGCAGCAGACGCGCCGGTTATGCGGTGACGACTCAGAGCTCGTGACTCGGTATAGGGTGGACTTCGAGCCGGCGGGATGCGTTGAAAGCTCGGAGTCGGAGGCGCCTTGCAGCGAAGTCTTCGAGACGAAGGCTTCCGTGCGGTGAGTGCTCTGGCTCGACGCCCCACTGAGGTAGGACTGCGAGTGAGTGATCGTCCAGTCCAGTGTAAACTACAAGTCAGCTACCCCATGCAGAAGAGGCTCCGAGTCGAGTGTCGGGCGCTCTGGCGACTCCGAGTCAGCGGTCCGTGAAGACTCCTAGTGAACTGCCCGCTGCAATGCACACTCTGAGTCGGCGGTCCGGTGCAATGCACGCTCTGAGTCGGCGGTCCGGTGCAATGCACACTCTGAGTCGGCGGTCCGGTGCAATGCACACTCTGAGTCGGCGGTCCGGTGCAATGCACGCTCTGAGTCGGCGGCCCGCTGCAATGCACACTCTGAGTCGGCGGTCCGGTGCAATGCACACTCTGAGTCGGCGGTCCGGTGCAATGCACACTCTGAGTCGGCGGTCCGGTGCAATGCACGCTCTGAGTCGGCGGTCCGGTGCAATGCACACTCTGAGTCGGCGGTCCGGTGCAATGCACGCTCTGAGTCGGCGGTCCGGTGCAATGCACGCTCTGAGTCGGCGGTCCGGTGCAATGCACACTCTGAGTCGGCGGTCCGGTGCAATGCACGCTCTGAGTCGGCGGTCCGGTGCAATGCACGCTCTGAGTCGGCGGTCCGGTGCAATGCACACTCTGAGTCGGCGGTCCGGTGCAATGCACGCTCTGAGTCGGCGGTCCGGTGCAATGCACACTCTGAGTCGGCGGTCCGGTGCAATGCACGCTCTGAGTCGGCGGTCCGGTGCAATGCACGCTCTGAGTCGGCGGTCCAGTGCAACGCACGCTCTGAGTCGGCAGTCCGGATCAGTACAAACTCGGATGCGGTGGTCCGATGCAGTACATGCTCTGAGCCGGTGGTCCGGTGGAGTGCAAACTCCGAGTACGCGAACCGGTGTGGTACAGACTCGTAGTCGGTGGTCCGGTGCAGTCTAGACTCTGAGTCGGTGATCCAGTGCAGTACATGCTCGGAGACGGCGATCCGGTGCAGTGCACACTCTGAGTCGGCGGTACGGTGCAGTACAGACTCGGATGCTGTGGTCCGATGCAGTACAGGACCGCAGTCTGCGGACCAGTGCGGTACAGACGCGGAGTCGGCGGTCCGGTGGGACGCAGACTCTGAATCGACGGTCCAGTGCAGTACAGACTCGGAGACTGCGGTGCGACTGTTTCTGTGTGCAGGGCGTGATGGCGGACGGCTGAGTCGTCGGAGCTCCCGGACAGTTACAAGCCCCGGGTGCCAACTGTTCTCCCTGAGTCCAGCCATCCCGCACAGACGATGGTAAGACTGAGAACTACGAGCTGCATGTAGCTTCGGCATGGCATGTATAGACAACTGATTGGTTGATTTCTAGAGTGGGAACCGAGCTAACCGAAGGGCGCGGGGTTTACATCTTCAGCCGGTGAATTGTGGGATTACTTGTGCTAAGTCGGGGTTAACGACGCATGCAGTGGGTTGCCTTGCGTTCAACTAATGGTGCTTAAGCCAAGGGAACCGGTGTTCCGACAACACATAATGCCACGCTTCCGTGGGTCAAATCAGTTCGATATTTGCATTCCCTCGCTCCAGTGACACGCGTTAGGCAAACGTTCCAACGGCCAGCTCTCCTCATGAGTATGATTTACTGCGCTGTACCACTGGGCTTACAAGATCAGACGCTCCACCGATCGAACGGAAGGTAAACATGGGAGGACACGCCCCCCCCCCCCCCCCCCGGGGACCACGTGCCCTGTGAGTCTGCCTGATGTCGGGGCTTCCGGGCTGGGATCACTCGTCACCGGTTTGCACGAGCTATATAAACGCGTGAATTTGTTTAGAATTGGCACTCATGATGAGCCTGTACCGGTCGACGACCTAATCGCACGTGCTTGAAAATGGTGTCACCCCATGACAGCCGGGCGCAAAGGCAATCAAGGCAAAAACAAAGGCATATAGCAATCAGAGCTCAGTACGCATTCAATCGCACATGGTGGCATTGTGTTGGAGTCCTGCTTCCAAGAATAAACTGATTACACACACACACACACAAACACAACACACACGCACACACACACGCACACACACACGCACACACACACCCACACCCACCCACACCCACACCCACACCCACACCCACACCCACACCCACACCCACACCCACACCCACACCCACACCCACACCCACACCCACACCCACACCCACACCCACACCCACACCCACACCCACCCACACCCACACCCACACCCACACCCACACCCACACCCACACACGCATATATATATATATATATATATATATATATATATATATATATATGTGAAAACATAATAACAAACAGATACATTTACGCTTCTTGTCGCCTGAGATTAGTTTCAGTTGTTTCGACACGACATGGAAACTGAACCGGATTTCGAGTCTCGAAGGACGCAGTCTCATGCCCGTGCTGTGCACTGTGTGCTTGGCGTGGCGAAATGGCCTGAATTTTATGGCTTATTTTGGCGCAATTATCTGCTGTTCCACCGATACCTGTTCGCAGCTTCTCCATTGAATAGCCTGCATCATATCAGACAGGTGATCTTTGTCGTCACATCTGTTTACCTGGTCGGATTAGCTGGCTTCTTTGTGAGTGTGATTGTGACCTCCCGGCTCCGCAGGGTTTGATTTATCCCACCATTCCTGCACTCACGCCCTTCCCTGCTCCGCAGGGTCTGATTTATCCCACCATTCCTGCACTCACGTCCCTCCCGGATCCACGGGGTTTGATTTATCCCAACATTCCTGCACTCACGTCCCTCCCGGATCCACGGGGTTTGATACATGTCTGAATGCATGGTTCGGCCGTAGCAGCCATAGCAAACAGCCACAAGACATTGATACCGTGGGTTATCGCTTGTTCAGCGGCAGGGCTCCGTCAGAATGGTCTCTACAGCTGGCTCTAGTGGATGGTATATTGGGCAAACGTGCTCGCGTTGCTCTGTGGAATCGGCCGAAATCGAGACGCACGCTTTCGAATGGCTCCGCGCGAGCATTGTTATGTGTTACCGGGCCCGCTGCCAGCCTCACTACAGCTGCTTGACGGGGCCTGTAGACACCTCTGGGCACAGCGAACCGCAATGAGTCGCATGTAGCCGCCCGGCACATGTAAACATCGCATCCACTCGGGCCCACGAGTCGCCTCAGCGGTGACCTACCCTGCAGATGCCGCCAGGCCTGAGTGGGCTGCGTGGTGATGTGCTCCTTCTCGTACAGCTCCAGGTAGCTGAAGACTATGCCGCCCAGCGCCAGGTACAGCACGAACACTACGGCGAGCACGAGCGTGCGGCGCGACCGCCGGCTGCGGCCAAAATTTTCGCCCTTGGGCAGCGGCACTGCCATGCTGTCCTGTGGTTAACAGGCTTCCGACAACCTAGGAGCTGCTCCTCAGAGCCGTCCGCCGGCGGGAAAGATGTGTCTCAGAGGCTTTCGCCAGCCGGGACATGCACCTCAGAGATGTCCGTCGGCGCTGGATGTGCACCCGAGAGGTGTTGGTGCGGGAGGCACCTCAGAGGAGTCCGCGCTGGGGAGGCACCTCAGAGGCGTCCGCGCTGCGGAGGTACCTCAGAGGCGTCCGCGCTGCGGAGGCACCTCAGAGGAGTCCGCGCTGCGGAGGTACCTCAGAGGCGTCCACGCTGGGAAGGTACCTCAGAGGAGTCCGCGCTGCGGAGGTACCTCAGAGGCGTCCGCGCTGGGGAGGCACCTCAGAGGCGTCCGCGCTGGGGAGGTACCTCAGAGGAGTCCGCGCTGAGGAGGCACCTCAGAGGCGTCCGCGCTGGGGAGGTACCTCAGAGGCGTCCACGCTGGGGAGGCACCCCAGAGGAGTCCGCGCTGGGGAGGTACCTCAGAGGCGTCCGCGCTGCGGAGGTACCTCAGAGGCGTCCACGCTGGGGAGGTACCTCAGAGGCGTCCGCGCTGCGGACGCGCTTCAGAGCAGTCCGTCGGCGCTCAGAGACGTCCGTTGGCGCGGCTGGGGGCGGCAGCGCCGAGGCCCCCCTGCTGGTGCGTCAGGCGGCCGGAGGCAGGGCGACGCACTGGGGTCGGCGATGAGCGACACGCGGCGGGAGCCGGCAGGGAGACGCGGGGGCCGGAGCGCTGCGCGGGTCGGCGGCTCGGCACTGGTCACTGCGCCACTGGACGGCTCGGGCCGCGCCGCCGGCCGCCCGGGCTGGTCCCGTGACGTCACAGCCCGTGCTGCACGCCCGTGCAAGGACGGCACCGGACACGCAGCCCCGGCGGGCGGTGAGCCGTCCTCAACGGCCGCTCGCGCAGCCCGACGGCGCACGCAGAGGGAGGTGCTCGGCATGCCGCAGGCCGCGCGCAGACGCCCGACAAAATAGTGGTTGTGCGTGTGTGTGAGTGTGGGAAAGGATCTGGCCCTTGCGTGGCGCCCTTGACTGGCACAAAGCAGCGATGGGGTTGAACACTGGGCCCTGACCGGTTCTGGTCGCAAATCCATGTCCATAGGCAAGCATCGTCGCGCCATTTTTGCTGCGGCATTATTTGCGTCAACGCTGCACCGGCGTTGCTTTCGACAGGCAACTTGGCGTTGATCAGCTAGTCATGTTTCATTTAGATTAGATGTTTGGCCAGACGGTGATTTGACACTTCATCATTTATAACTAAGGCTTACTTGAGTGTTATGTTTGATTGTGCATGACAGTGCAGTGGTTTACGCTCCAAGATGACTTCGATCTTTGCAATAGCATGAAAACACAGTGACTTGATAAATCACGAGTTATAAACTGACACACTTCCAAGGCGTCATGTAACCAGTCGGCACGTTGCATCGCATGTCATCGGTTCCGCCGCAGAGGGGACTGGGGATCAACGGCTGCAAAACTCGGTGAAATCTAGCATTTCGGATGAGGACGTTGCACGAAAAAGACACGCTAAAAGCTAGTGGCCCCCACTCGAGTGCTGCCCGTGATGGAGCCATTGTCACATGCAAATTAAATTACAGCGCGCAGCCTCGGCGGACGGCTCGACCAGTAAGGGCGGCCGGCTGGCGAGCCGTCTTGTGGGTCGTGGGACAAGCGAGACGATAGCAGAAGCGAGGACCCCAGCTGACGTCATGAAGATGCGAGGAACCGAGCCAATCAAATCAGGCAACTTCGGTGACGGATACCACCTAAGATCACTGCGTTGGAAGATATGTAATTGTGATAAGTATGCAACAGACAGAGATCACCGGTGAAAGATTTGAAAACTGAATAACATTGAGCATTGATTTGAAAAATGGTGGGCTTGTCTGGTCTGGTCAAGCTTATTATATATATATATATATATATATATATATATATATATATATATAAGTTAGATGGACGCAATCGATGACCGCGAGTATTGCCAGCATTGGGGCAACGTTTACTCAACTACTGCGAAAAGCGCAGATGTTTTGGATGCACATTGGGTTATATGGGGTTACACACCCGTTTAATTTCCTCGTCCAGTCTCTTCTGGCTACGTCCGCAGCGTCTCGTGTCCTAGGTGTGCTTCATAAAGGGGTGCGCTGGCTGTTCTCCGGTCGACTGCTGGCACTTTCGTCTTTTTATGTAAAAAGTTTTAAAACGCATCAGTCAAATATAACGGCACATTGGGCTACACTGTGTAGCTGTTCGAATATAACAGCGCATTGGGCTACGCTGTGCAGCTGGTCAAATATAACGGCACATTGGGCTACACTGTGTTTCACATATGCATCTACTCCGGCTGCTGAGATCTGATATCACTGTTTACAAACGCCTCCAAACTGGGAATTCATGGCTGAAAGCTGCAATGCCTGGTCGCCGAGACCTGGGCCTGGTTGTGTAATCTTCGGCTGTTTTTATACGATTTGCAAATGTTGTATTTGCCACATTAACCTGAGGAGGGAGGTGAAATTGTGACCACATTTCAGTGCTCCAGGAAAACCCCGCCTGGTCAAGCTGCTTGCATACAAATGTTTACCTACAAAAACTAGAATAACTTATAAATAATGCCACCCACTACTGGAAGACACTGTGACCAGTGATTGCAAATATGCCAGCTTGTAGAAAGTGTGGCACGTCATGCCTTCTACATGTTGCCAGGCTGCAGCGAGCAGGTGGGCTGACCGGTGCGCTTAAGCTGAAAATTGTTCTATAAAACATGGAGTGCAAGCACAACTCGCCCGTTTTGCGGACTCTCCGTGAGCAAAAACAAAATCGCAGGTGACACATGCGGGCGTGTTGCCTGCGCAAACCTTTGAGGCCCACCATAAGGTTTTCAAATTGATTTTCGGAGGAGAAAGAAGTCCGGTGCAGCGTATCCTGCTCCTTCTTTTACTCAGCGTGCGTTTGGCCTGCAACGTGCACTCACCGGGCCTGTCTGTTTTAATATATGCAAGCCGCTTCCCCTGTATGTGGTGGAGGTTCAACAGGCCCGCGATTAAAACATGTTAAGAACACCTTTCTCCAAAGTGCAGTAGTGACATATATCATAGCAAGCGCGACAAGGTGCGGGCCGCTCCAGTGACACCGTCAAGATACTTAGTGATAGCGATAAGATATTACCAAGATATGGCCAAGATATTTCTGTTTTATCTCCCAAGCAGTTCCTGCTTACGAGTAGCAGTCTTCACGGGCCCCCTCTGCCCCCAGCATGCCAGTTCCGAGCAGGTGGCGGGGCAGGTACGCACGGGGCACGCCGCGATCGGGGACTTGATTTGGTGAAGGGCCTGTTTCCAGGGCCACCTCTGGCACATTTATGGGCGCGCGGGGCTGCGTTGCGTAACAGTCAGGGCATTCCAGGTCAGCTGTACATGGCCGAGCGGTCTGGCGTGAGTATACCGCTGCGGGTGCTCTCCGGACATTCGGCCAAGGCTCCCTTCTGCTCTGTCGGCGCGCGCCGGGAGTGGCGGAAACGTGGGCGGAGGTCTCCGCGGGTCTGAGTGTGACAGCTCACCTCCCCAGGTCGGGGTGCGTGCGGGCCGAGTGGCGGCAGAGGATGGCCCGGGCCCAGAGACCAGATCATCAGATCCTCAGAACGCACGGCTTTAGCCGAGTGGGCATGGCGTGCTGAGCCCGGGCTCGCTGCTCTACGCCGTACGTATTTGTTTCCATTCATCTAACGGGGTTGACAGCTGTTACTATAGACATTGCATATATATATATATATATATATATATATATATATATATATATATATATATATATATATATATATATAAAATGCAAATGTTTATCAAAGTTATATTCCTTCTGAAAGATCAGTCGGGGGGATGATTTCAATCAATTACCTTGATTATTTAAAAGGTGTGTCATATATATATATATATATATATATATATATATATATATATATATATATATATATATATATAAAATGCAAATGTTTATCAAAGTTATATTCCTTCTGAAAGATCAGTCGGGGGGATGATTTCAATCAATTACCTTGATTATTTAAAAGGTGTGTCATATATATATATATATATATATATATATATATATATATATATATATATATATATATATATATACACGCATATGCATATAGTCACATATGTCTAAATTAATTATATATATGTATATATATATATATATCATTTTATATAAATATAAATATATATATATATATATATCATGAATTTACACATATATGACTATATGCATATGCGTATATATATGACACATCTTTTAAATAATTAAGGTAATTGATTGAAATCATCCCTCCGACTGATCTGTCAGGAGCAATATAGCTTTGATAAACATTTGCATTCTAAAAGTGCGAGGGGGTACAGGCATAGAGTATAGAGAGAGCAATTTTTCTCCATTGTGTTATGTTGTACACCCAGTGAACAGCGGTCCGCCGGACATGTGAGCGTTTCAAAAATTGAAGAAGCGGTGACTAAAGCCAGCGACAGCAAAACTGACGTGGGGTTTATACGGCTGAGTCGCTAAGAACGGAAACGATTACATCGCCCACTCAAAAATGACTAAACATGTTATCTTGACGCATCACAGAGCTGAAGGACGGTGAGCCAAGGACTGCTTATGAGGGAACTGTCTAACCACTGACCTTTGAGCCAAGATATACATATTGAGCGTAATGTTCAGCTGTACTAATGAAGCCCGCTCCGATCGCCGGCGTGGGATTAGGCCGACGCCCCACATCGACGGCCTCGGCTGCCGGGAGCCCATCCAGCCGTGCGCAGACCCAGAACAGGCCGGGTGCCCACGCAGAGGCTCAGCCCACTCGGCTGCCGGGAGCCCATCTAGCCGCGCCTAGACCCAGAGCACGCCTGGTGCGCGCGCAGAGACTCAGGCCACTTCGCGTTGTGGCCCACCAGGGGCGCGCTTAGGCATGCGGGTGGGACAAGAAGGGGTACGGAACTATAACGGAGGATGTCTAAATGCGATGGCAAATTTATCATTGGCAAGAAACGTCGGATATAAACCATTTAATTGCAAGCGGTAAGTAGTAAAGGTGGCAGGTGGAAGTCATTTTTATGATATTTTAAGGTCGTGTTTTGGAGAGCTCGTGGCTGTATTCGTCTATATGCACATGAACTATGAACGTATCAGCTCACATTCATCATGGGGATCTGAGGTCCCACTGGCACCGGCCAGCCGACTGCGGCCCATGCCGCCCGGGTGGCGGGTGGTGCGTCTGGGGTTCCACAGGCATCGGCCAGCCGACTGCAGGCCCCTACAGGCCGGGTGGCGGGTGGGGCGTCTGAGGTTCCACAGGCATCGGCCAGCCGACTGCAGGCCCCTACAGGCCGGGTGGCGGGTGGGGCGTCTGAGGTTCCACAGGCATCGGCCAGCCGACTGCGGGCCTTTACAGGCCGGGTGGCGGGTGGGGCGTCTGAGGCTCCATAGGCACCGGCCAGCCGACTGCGGGCCCATCCAGGCCGCGTGGCAGGTGGGGTGTCTGAGGTCCCATTGGCACCGGCCAGCCGCCACCGGGCCTATCCAGGCCGGGCGGCGGGTGGGGCGCCTGAGGCTCCATAGGCACCGGCCAGCCGATTGCGGGCCCATCCAGGCCGGGTGGCGGGTGGGGCGTCTGAGGTCCCACTGACGCCCGCGATGCTGAAGCTGCTCTCCTCGGGACTTTGATCAGCCTGCAGCACGGCATTGCTCTGCAGCTGAACATTCGGGC